GGGTACCAGTACCCATCTACTTTGAAAGGAATACCCGGCTTCTTTAAGTATGTTAAGTACAAAATTTAAAAAAAAAAATACATATGTCAGCCTCTAATAAAAATTAACTATTCTTTGTGAGTGGAATATTACCTTTAAAAACCCTTTTTTGTCAATTACCTCTCATCGATTTCTTTTGCAAGAAAAGTGGTTTTTTGATGGTTGCACTTTGCATTCATCGGGCCTTTCTCCTGTGAAGTGCTTTTGCTGTTACATAACTCTTACACCTGACATGCCACATGTTTGTAAGCACATGCGTTCTCACAGTCCTGTGCATTAAAACCATCAAATTCATCAGGGCGAGCAAACGCAGATCTCAAGGCATTCTGGATAATTTTTTTTTCAGTTGTGTCCAAAAGATCGAAAGGTTAGTTTTAGTAACTTTAATTAATGCATTTCAAGTTTTGCATGCCAATATAAGAGTAACAGTAACTCACATGAGCACTATTTTGCATTTGTATTTATTATCTCATTACAGCACATTGAACCTGAAAGTAAAATTTACGCATAATGCAATTGCTTTATTCAAATAGCCTATAAAAAGCTAAATGTTTTGCACCACAGGCTTAAAAATCATTTCTCTGTCTGCTGAATAGGAAAACATAAATTCAGGACTTACGGGCTTTGCTAAAACTAAAAGCGCCCGAGAGTAAAACCAAAACGGAATGCATGACGCATTACTTTTAGCGAGTGATCCCGTAATGTCTAACACTGTTTAATTCTGGTAGAATTGTGTAAATGAGGACTAATGACAAAACACTAATTTCCCTCCCAGAATCAAGGAAAATGCATTCCTGGGAGTTCAATTTTTCAAAATCTTCTGGGAGGCATGCCCCTGGACCCTCCTATAGCTAGGTGCTTGGGCCTTTCACCCTCAACTAACTCGAGTACCTACCTACTTTATACCAGATGCCCTTCTACTTGAAAAATTAATGAAAATCCTGAAGAACTGTAACAAGGTTCGTATGCTTTGAAGCTTTTAAAATTCCATGACTTTCTATGACCTTTTCCATGACCTTTCCGAGTTTTCCATGACCACAGTTAAGCGGCTGTTTTCACAGTAGTATCAAAACAATCATTTATTTCACATATTTTCCAGCATTATAATGCAAAAAATGCATCCTTGTGTCTATTTCCACTGAAATTAAAGTCTGTTTCTGACTTGTCAGTAATTTTTTCAAATTTTTTATCTTTTTGCCTTTATATTTTTCAAAAGCATATTGCTTTTCCATGAACCTCCATGACCTTCACTTAAATTCCATGACTTTCCAAGTTTTCCATGACCTGTACGAACCCTGTGTAAGTTGTTTTAGAAAAGTTTAATGCAGGATGCAACATGTAAAAAAGCAAAAATACAATTTGGTAAAATTCTGAACTTCTGTTTGGATTACCTACCATTTCCAGTCCTACAACTGTATGCACATTTCCACTTGAACCTTCCTCTTGGCCAATATAACGTACAGTTCCTCTGGCTGGGTGATCCTCAATGAATGTCACAACTCTTTGATCAATTTCAAGTACCTGGTTAATTCTTCCCTGAGGCAACTTTCGTTCATTTTTTCCTTTAAGAAAAGATGGCATAACTGTATCTATTAGTCGTGATCTGAAGTTAGCTTGAGCATTTTCATCTTTTTTTGGAGATTCAGAGTCAGGATCCTCTCTAAGTGTTAATTTATCAAGTCCAACAAAGACACCAGAATCTGGTGGGCAGGTAAAGTAACGCTTGTTCCGGAATGTTCCATCAGATGTTCCTTGCCCTGGATGCTTCTAAAAGATTAAAACAAAACAGAGTACTTTTAATTAATACTGTAGAATTCCGAAAGGAAAAAGAAGATTTGTTTTTCTTGGATCAGAAACTCAAAAAATGATCAATGTTGTGAGCATGAAATTGTTCAGCGTGTGGTTTCACTATTTTTCCAGTTAAATTTTATCAAACCATAAGTGTACCCAATTTTTCTGAGATTATGGAAATTACGTGTCCAAGAGAGGATTATACAAGGAATATGTCAGAAGAAAAGTCAACAATGTGCCAGGGATTAATTTGTGCCAAAATTTTGCCTTTATGCATACTCCCTCCTTCTCCTCCAAAGAGAATCCACTCAAAAACCAGTAACTGGGCAGTGGTCAACTTCTAAAAAAACATGCAACCTTGATGAGCTCTAAACCTGAGCCCATGATATGGTCATGTGATACTGGTCAGCGAATACCTTGTTTTGACAGCTGTCAATTAACCATAACAAGGAGATGTGCCTATGGTAATGGTGCTACTCTCTTATTTTTCAAGGTATGGGACCAAATTCCAATTTGATCAGGAATTCAAGGGCCACGGGTTTATCAGTCGTAAGACTGTTGTGTGTTACCCTCATTAAACAAAGCTAATTTATTTTATTTATTTATTTTTATTTATTTACGGGGCTTGGCGTACACATGTAGGGCTGTCAATAAGTTCTGAAGTAGAGGTCCCAAATTTGAAAGTAAGCAGTACGCTACTTTTGAGTGCAGAAGGCACTAGGCTCCTAAGGGGTCTCAGGGCATGCCCCAGAGGAAATTTTGATGCTTTTTTCAGCATTTTCCACTTGCATGCCTTTGGCATACAGGAACTCTGCTAATATCCAGTCCAAGATGATGAATACAACTACCATGATTCCCTGCAGGCATATCTCATAGGGAATTGGCCATTCCTGTGGGAAAATGCTTCCCTTAAACAGCAACTGAAACACATTAATTTAAGCCTCTTGGTGATCAGTACACTATCTTCTACTTTTCGCAGACGTACTCATTAACATCTACTTGTAATTTACATTCAAATGTTCCACCTCCTGTTACATTTGCACTTAAGAACTTGAAGGAAGATATAAAATATAAAATCAATATTCTAAGTCTAAAAATCATGCCATCTGACAGGGTGCAGAAAAAAATAACAAATTACATGGAAATTTTGGGAGGAAAAAATGCGAAAAAATGTGTCAGTTATGTGGAAAACACACTGGATTATGCGGAAATTTCAACAGTAATCAAAACTGACAATAAAGTCCGAACAACAGTGAAACGAAAAACACTTCAAAGTCTTACCCACAGTGCTTTTTAATAGAATGCACATCATTTTTGCCAACTTTGACATATGCTTGATCTTTTTATGGTATTTGTTGATAGGTATTTCTTCATTTATGTTATAATGTGCATTAGCACGTGCCTCTAGGGACCTGTTCCCGCGCTGCTTTAGTTTATTTAGTACTCTGTTATAGCTTGAAGTTCAGTTGTAATCATGTCGAGTACGAGTAAAGTGTATTTCGTTTTACTCCGTTTGTGTCTTTCATAATATTACAATTTACACAGTTTTTCCACAGCATTTTAGTTCATTTTGTGTGCAGAATCCAATGTGTCCATAGCTGAGTAACCAGGCATTTTCCATGGAACTAGTTTCCTGGCTCTTTGCCTTAATTAGGTTGGAACGCTTGGAGGTTAAAAAAATGGCATCTTTTCATTGCTATTTTAGGAGAAAAACTACTTCAAAATAATCAATCTCTTCAAAATTTTGCTTGAGGGGTTGTAAGGCAGCTCCTTCAT